AAATTTTTGTCCAGATATTCTAATGTAATTTAAATAGATTATTAGTTGTCAGGATCTAATATAAATTTTGTTTACGATTTAGTTACTTTAAGTACTCAGATTGAAGAAACTAATTTAACCCCACACGTGAGCAGCTTCAAGCGTCAAGACCACTAAAAAGCTTCCACTGCCCTTTGCACTCTTCCAGTAGTCTTAAATTACTACAACTTAACGGTAAATATCAAGGCACAAAATGGAGCCCCTCCCCCACTTGTTTAAAAGCAAACAGCTTGGGGAGGGTCATACGGAAAAACCCATCTATATGCATGTTCAAGTTCCAGATTCTTTCTTTCAGGCAGCCAGTTCTCCCAGTGGCTGGCTAGGGAGGAAATGTTTTTCTCACTTTCGATCCCATAAAATCACTACCAAACACCTGTTGTACACAAGGCAGGGCATGAATTAAAAACTGGTGTCGGGGGATTTCAAAAAGAAACACAAGTCTTGCAGAGACATCCTCAAGCTAATTCGGTCAAGAGATTTTCATGACTGGGTAAAACAGTACGAGGAAAAGGATGCAGCTTCTGGCACAACCTTCTTGTGAATGGGAGCTGACTTCTAAATAAGGCCCGAAAAATGCCTTAGCCCCAACTGACTGTAATTAATAAAAGTAATATATTAAAGAAACAAAGAACACTGTCAAATTGTCTTCCCTGACTGCCATGCGCTTTACCCCACTGTACTTCCCCTTTCCAGAATACCAGCCTTGGCAGCCATTATTGCAAGAACATTATCTATGGGATGCAAAACCAAAGCACTTCTTGAAATCAAACGTTCCTCACAACATTTATTTTTAGGTTGGCAGCACAAGCCAAATCTGCTTAATTTCCATTAACCACATCGTCACATGCACATCAAAATAAACTATGTGGGTCCCAGGGGGAAAAAAAAAAGTGTCATGTATAAGACACCCCATATTTGGCCAGGTTTCCCTGTTTCAGGAATTTGTCTCATCTTGTGGCCCGCTGACGTTCTAGCTTCGGAACCTCTAACCTTAATTCAGCCAAGCACCAAGGAAGAGAAAGATTTTTAAAAATCAGTTTAAGATGGTTCCTTGGATGGCACACGTATGGCAAAGTGACTCACAGACCAGTGTAACAAGGCACAGGAAAGATCGTTTAGCAATCACACCAGCCCAACTTACCTGGCTTGCTGGCTCGATTTACAAACTCAGTGTTTGATCACCTGGTGGGATTACTACCATCAACTAAAGAAAAAAAAAAAAAAATCCCCTACAAATAGTAAAAGTCCATGTTGGCTGGTGTATAAAGTTCACCTGTCTATTCAGCAGATGACTCTCTTAAGGTTATTTTCTTTAGAAGACAAACCCCTACTTGCTGGAGACCTTTACATACTCTAGGTCCAAAAAACATACTTAAAAAAAAAAGAACAACACTGCTGTCTTAGCAAAAATGACATTTACTATGACGGAATTCTATAAAAGGAGTATGACACCTAACAGGATAAGAAAGGAAAAGAAAAAGCCCTAAGCAAAAAAATTTCTTTGAGAAACAAAAATACCACCTGTGCAAATCTAGCTATGCTCTGGAAACCCCTTTTCAGCCACAGAGAACCAGCTCCTGCTCGGTGCCTTGAAGCTGCAATTAAATTGTAGTAATTTAAGATTATCGGGAGAGCAAAGGGCAGTAGGAGCTCTTTGGAGGGCTTGCCTCCCCACTTAATGCTCTTCAGTCAGGGGTTAAATGAGTTTCTTTAATGTAAGTACCTTAAAGTAACTGAATCATAAACAAAATTTATACTATTTTCTGACAGCCTGCAATCTATTTAAATTTTATTAACGGGTACCTAAGATTATTTTTAAAAGACAGAATCCTTGCAATGCCCTGTAAATATTCTTGGCATCCCCACTGAAAAGTAATCGGTACTTTATAACACCTAAATTGAACACACACACGTTTGCGGGATGCAGACTCTTCACAAGATAACATTTCAAAAGTGAGTTTGCATCTTAAGTAAAACCTGAAAACCAAATCAACAGCACAATAAGATTGGCTGCAAAGAGGAAGCTGGGTTCAAAATAAGTTGTCACATCGGCTCTATACTCGCTTCTCTTCCTTTATGTTGGCATTGGACGTGGGGGGTATAAATATATTTGCTGAGGAAATATCACAATTCTTCTGTTAATTTAAACAACTGCTGAGAACAGACCTATCCTTCAGTAGAGCCTCCGAATGCAAAGGCCGGGGCTAGAGTCTTAAGTGAAGCAAGGAAGCAAGGAAAAACTTAGTAACAGAAAACCATGCCCAGGCTCAACATTAACCCAGTTAACTTTTGTTATTGTTGGTACAAATGATTTAACTAGAAAGTATTTACAGCTTTTTAAAAAACATTACATATTGCAGAAAATTGCCTAATAGCATCCATGTGTATGTTTAACTCACATTGTTTAATGATACAATAAAAGGTATATCCAATAAAAGCTACAGACTTTGAAACATGTTGGGCACTCTGGTTATGAAACTCTGACTTAAAAAAACACAAAGTGCTTACTATGTGATTGACATTTGTTCGTTACAAATGCAATCCTTCAATGACAATTATTTTTATTCTCCTCTGTGTTTAGTTGTCCTTTTTCCTACTTTGTTCTACTTAATTTGAAATGACATTTAATTTGGGGATAGTTTATAGCTTAAAAAAAAAGTGTTACACAGTTTATACTCCAGCATTTAAATATAAACACAAAATCTTTCACAGGTCTCCAGCGATACAACCCCCTTAATTTGAGGCAGTTAATTTGAAAAGCTGATATTTCTTTCATTATACTTTAATAAACCTGTGAAAACAAAATGCTAAAGTAATTACTGTTACTACTCCCTTTAAAAATGTAAAGCAGTTAAATTTTCCTAGACAACAAGCAAGGACAAGTTACAGGGAACTTGAATAAAAGTAGCAACGTGGTCATGCTGAATGTCAATCTAAAAAAAGAGGTTATGTCTAATCTGGAGAATGCTCCCTCTCGCCTTTTTAAATTCCAAGAGTGGGCTGACACAAAACTTCATCACCAGGGAATTTTTTTTTTTTGATTTTTTTTTTGTTTTTTTTTTTGTTTTGAGCTTCACATCAGATTTCAACCCTCACATACAAAACCTTGGCTTCCCTGACAAGGCAGATCTTCTAAACTTGATGTGAGAAAACGTTATCTAACTCTAGTGTAGGAGTCTAATGTTGGTAAAAAAGAATTCCACTGCACAGTTCTGGGTAGCAAGACAACCTCTAGAAGACTTACTATCCTTTTAATGCCCTTTTGGGTACATTCTCTTCATAAATAAGTCTGCATTATAAAAATAACTTGTTTAGCTACTCAGCATCTATAAGGAACTCAAATGCTGCCTGGAGAGGGGCTGAATATTTCCTTCCTAGCAAGCCTCTGCTTGCACCACAAAGATCAGCATTTGCAATGGTCCATTTCTGCATTAGTGAATATATAGCTTTGCTGCTTGATCGAAGAGTCCAGGGTTCTCCGTGTAGAGCTCCTGACAACCCAGCAGCAGTTCTGTTTGATCTCTCCTGCTTCCTTAATTTGGGTTGTCAAGGTTCAGCAGTTGGAGGCTGTTTACTTTTCCAAAAAAAAAAAAAAAAAAAAAACTGATTTTTTTTTCTCCCTCTCATACAATGACTAATCCAAAGACTAAGGGGGGGTGAAGTGGGGTGCAGCCAGTGACAAGATGTTAAACCGTTTTCCCCCCTTTGCAGTGAGATTTTAGCTAACACCGTTTGAATGGTAACTAGTTGAATTCCTTTTAATATTTTTAATACTCTTTAATTATGAGACCTTTCAAGCAGGGAAGTCAAGATGGAAAAGACTCATTCCTGATCTCTGAAACTGTGAGCCCAATTTTCTTTTCCTGGCCTTAAAGAGATGGGTATTTTCACTTTGAGAATCAAAACTCTAGTGGAATTCTCAAAAAGATTCAATACATTTCTCTCTGGAACCAAAAATAATAGGAACTCCTGTGTCTCAATTATACAGGATAACCCTTGGTAGAAAACACCTGAACTCTTACCATTTCTCTTCAAATTCTAGTTAAGACATCTCTCCCTAAAATGATTCTCACTGTGGCAAAAACGAGGGGAAGGGAGATGAAAGGTAAAAAATTTGGAAATATTCTTCAATGTATTTTCAGCAGGAGAAAAAATCTCTTAACTATCCCTCAGGTTTTCTCAACTCAGCTATTGTGCCAGCCCTAAATCCTGAAGCCTACAGACAACCAAAGGTAAAGTGTAGACGGTTTCAATGTGTAGACTCCTTTCAGGGGGAATACAGAATGGCCCTCCAACATTCCTGTCTAAAGAGCAGTAACAAAAAGGGAAACCCGAACTTGGAAAATACCTGTGACCGGACATGAGAGCAACACCAGCCCCTCATAAATGGGCTGGAAAAGCTCAAATGCAACCAAATGAAATATTTATATTAATTCCATTATTCTGCCCAAGCCTCACAGATGAGGGCTGGGGGGGAGGGGGGCGGGGCTCAGAGGAAGAAAATAAGTTTCATTTCGGGTTTTCTGGTCTAGCAAAAGGAAAAGGAATTAAGACGAACGTGTAGGATGAGCCCAGACTAAATCAATACACTTTGTAATCAGTCCGTCAAGGGTATTTGGACACAATGACTTGGAAATAATTAACAGTTAAAAGGGGGGGGGAGTGGGGTGAGAAGGGGAGCGAGGGATGTCATCATATTTTATCAGAGCACTTTACACTCCATGCTAAACTTTGATCTCCAGATTTTCGGATTTCGGAAAGAAAAGAGGAAAAAAGGAGAAAGTCCAGTATTTCAAAGCACCTACCGGCTTAAGGATGGGCACATTTCCTGGCTCCGGCGCCAGATCGCTGCGCTCGCGCCGCCCATGCTGGGGCTTTGGGCGCAGAGACCCCCGGGTACAGCCCGAAGCTCTAGAGTGTCACCGGCCCTCGCGCCCCCGCCCGCGGCCGCCTCGACTTACCCGCGGAGTCCGGGGAGGGAGTGGGAGTGCCGCCTTCACGCCCGCGGAGGAGGCGCCGGCAGCACCATGGTCCCCGGCGCCGCAGCCGCTGCCCCTTGGCCCGCTTGCTCGCCGCGCGCTATCCTCTTCTTGCAAACTTTCGGATTCTGCGGTCGACAAGAAACCGGGGCGACCCTCAGCAAATCTTCCCGGTGCAGGTTGGGGGGAACTGAGTGGGGCGGGATAAATGAGTAGCCTGGGGGGCCAAGACCGAGAGGGCGGCGGGCTCGAAAGACCCGCGAGCGCGCGTGGAGGGAAGAGAGGATGTGGCCCAGGGATTCCCTGCAAGGATCCCGAGACCGGGAAATCGGCCCGAGCCTAAGTCTCAGCACCTTCCCCGGGATCTTACAAAGTTGCAACAACAAAAAAGGAGGGGGGGAGGGGGTGGAATAGGGATACGATCGCAGGCGCAAGGTTTGGAGTTACAACTGTTTATTTAGTCCTTATTCTCACAGGGGGCGGGAGCTGCGCCGCAATCGGGGGCGGGGGGGGGGGGCGGGTTGCAGGCAGCGATTTCGAAGCAAACACTTGGGAGGGGGGCCTGAGACTTTGTTTCTGGGCGCGAAGCTCCCCGGCGCCCGCATGTGTCACCGCCAGTCCGCGGGGACCAAGGCGGAGCTCACAACAGGTGGGGAGGGGGACTAGCCGAGGGCCAAAAAGAAGAAGGAATCAAAGTTTCCGAGCGCGGCCGTATCTGGGGAGGAGGCGGGCGGGAGGCGGAGGCGAGGGGAGGCGGAGGCAGCGAATGACCGCGACCCCGCGGCAACTGGCAAACTCCTCCGGCTCCCGGCGCCGCCACCGCGGTCCCCACCCGAAGCGCACACCCGCCCGGCTCGCCGGCTGCCTCAGCTGAATCCTCCCTGCGGGGCAGGAATGGAGCGCGGGGAGCCCGGGAGGAAGGCGGCGCGCAGCAGAGGAACGGAGAGCGGTCGGCCGCCGGGACAGGGCCGAAGGGTCTCGGCGACTCGCGCACGTCTCAGGACATATCAGGACTTGGGAAATCCCCCCTGTTCCCCAGGCTTAAGAGGGACGTACACCGAGAAAGTGCGTGTGGTGCAGCGGAGAGAAATCCGGGCGCGGCGACTCCCCGCAGCGCACCCTGCTCCCACTCCCGCCCGCCGAGCTGGCCACGGCGGCCTCGGATCCCTCGCGGGGAGGCTGGGTTCGCCGGGCCGAGCGCGCGAGGGGGTACGTGTCTAGCTGGGGGTGCGCGGGTGTGTGTGTGAGTTTTCTGGGCTCCGGGGTGCGGCAGAGGAGTGCCCCCGTCGCCGAGTTCGGGGCACGGCGTGCGTGGCACCGGAGACGTCCCCAGCCGCGGGGCCTAGGGCGCAGACGTTCTCAGTCATTCCGCTGAGGCCCGCGGAGCAGCTCCGGGGCACCGAGGGGGAAAACACTCGTGGAGAGCGAAAGGAAAAAGTTTGCTCCAAGTCCAAACTTTGGGCTCCAGAGGAACCCGGCGCGCGCCCCCTCCCGCCGCGGACCCGACCCCGGGCCCCGCGCCCGCCCGGCTTCTGGGCAGGCACCCCGACGCCAGACACCGAAAGTTGCGCCAGGCGGCCTGGGATTCTCGATTCCTCTCCCCGCTGCAACCGTGGAGAGCGCAGAGCGACGCGTGAAGGGGCCGAGGTGAAGGAGAGATCGCCTCCTCGCCGCTGCAGCCGCCGTAGCCCCCCCCGCCATCCATTTGACTTATGGAAATGCACCCAAGAGTGCGGGCCCCGCCGGAGTCCCCTCCACCGACCCCCGCGCCAGCCCGCAGCCCCCAGCCACCCAGGAGCCCGGGCCCCGACCCGGGGGAGAGAGAGGCTGCCTCTGGGGAGGGCTGGGGGAGATGCACGTGGAGCCAGGAGATGGGAAGAAGTTTTTTTTTCCTTTTTTCTTTCTTTTTCTTTTCTTTTTCTGTTTTTTTTTTTTTTTTTTTTTTTGGTGTTGTTGTTTAAAGTGGTCGGAAACAAGGCAGGAGGCGGCTTGGGAAAAAGTGGAGCAGAAATGGAAAAATACAAACTCACCCGCTGCAAATGGTCTCTCGGTGCAAACTAAGGTGTTTTCGGGCCTTTCCCCGCGCGCGCCCACTCCCGCCCGCGCGCGCACCCCCGCGCACACACTCACTCGCGCACACACGCGCGCACACACACGCACTCCCGGGCGAGGGCCGGGCCGCCGCGAGTACAGCATGCAACCGCCACACAATAAATAACAATAGATTCCTCCGCTCCGGACTAGCTTTCCGGAGCCCAGCCAGCGGCGGCGGCGGCAGAGGCGCGGACGACGTCGGGCCGGGGACGCTACCCCGCCCGCCCCCTGGGCTGCGGCCGGGGCCCCTTCTCCATCTTACGCACCCCTAAGCCACCCCCGGAGCGCGAACCGGCTCGCCCCCCTTCCCCGAGCCACTCGGGCGCTGGCACCCACCCCCCTCCCCCGGCCTCCCGGAACAAATAAATAAATAAGGCGCGCGAGAGGCCAACACGTCGCGGAGGGAGATGTTGTTATTTTTTGCTGTTGTGCGTCCCTGACGTCACATCCACCTGCTGGGTAAACAACAAGGCTCGCAGCAAAAAAAAAAAAAAAGAAAAAAAAAATCGCAGTTGCCAAGGGGGTGGGGCGGGGATTGGGGGCAAGGGGAACAGGGAGGTGGGAGTGAGGGGTGTCCAGGCTAGATGGGGACGAGGAGAAGGAGGCAGAGTCCCGCAGACCAGAGAGAGGAAGGCAACGCCAGAGCAGTCCCTGGCAGAAGAGGGATCAGGCAAGAAAGACCTGGAAAATGAGGGGCATGGGGGAGGGGGATTCCTCAGAAGATGGGGAAAGGGGCGCCCATTCAGACACCGGAAAGAAACGAGAGGGAGAGTGTTAACAACTAAGGACGAAGATGGGAATGCGATGGCTATTTGCTTGGTTTCTGAGCTAAAAATACAGAAGGAAGGGGAGAGGAAAGACAAGCATGTGAGTTTCCTCCAGTTAAAAGTGAAAGTGTTTTGCCATCAGTGACAGTTGAAGGAGGGGGAGGTAGGGTGGTGTTTTCAACCCCCTTTCTCCTTCTCTCCCGTCCTCCCTCGGTCTCTCCTCTTTCTTTCTGCACTTTGTCCAATGAAAGAAGGCGAGTTCGGGAGGTGAAAGTTCAACAGAAGGACAAACCCCTGTTTGCAAGAAATAGAAACCCGCCAGTGAGGGTTTCCCCCCCCCCCCCGTATTTCTGAATCAGGAGAGTGTAATGTGGGACGCTTCCCCCCACTTCCTTGTCAGAGTCACTGCAGGAATGTGTAGTTAGATCCACTTTAGGCGAAAGTGGCTGCGTCGGGAGCTGTGTTCTTGCCATGGTGTCTCTTAGGAAAACGCCCAGGGGGCTAGCATGTCAATCAGTTGTTTAACACAAATTACCTGCTCTCCCAGAGATCAGTCACATGCAAAAAGCTTTGTCCAATTCTTTGAAAAGGTGACTTTTTTTTTTTCTTTTTGCTGCTTTGAAGTTCGGTGGAATTTAGAAATTTGAAGGAGTGAATTAGGAGCCTGAATGAAATGTTTTGTAATATACATATACATGTATAAAACAAGAGACACACGCATTTCTTTCACTATTATCAACACAAATAGAGGAGGAAGAAGGCTTTCTGTTTCCAAGGTGTGACTTAGAAAGATATAGGGCTCTAGGGCTTGTAGTTGTTAACAGAAATAATTTTTTTTCAGACCCATCACCTCAACCTCCCAGCATTTCCAGTTACTGGCTAGGTGGTGTACCAGGGCAACTCTTTATGAGAATATATTGAAAGCCACTCCTGTGGATTCCTACGAAGTACTTGGAGAGAAGGAGACAACAACGGAAGGGGGTGGCGATGGGAGGGGGACACTAGTACTGTCCCCTTGGTCTTGAGACCAGAGCAGTTGTAGATAATCAATATCCTGAAAAAAGTTATGATAAATTCTTCTGGATCATGTCTTTATACAAATATTTTTAAACGTTCATTTACAGAAGAATTCTAAATCTCAAGTTCAATAATAGCATAAGACGACCACTTTAAAATTCTGTTTTGCAAGTAAAAAAAAAAAATAATTCACTCATGCTACTGAATAAAGCCAGAGACAGGGAGACTGCGCTAAGGTAATTACAACATAGTAGAATTCATGTAAATGCACGCTGTGTAAGATTCCAGGCTATCCAGGCAAAAGCATCCATCAGATCATTGAGACTAGGATCCACATAAAGAAAATGCATTTTACTTCCTGTAGCACCTCCTAGCTTCCTAGAGGCTAGGGTTGTGTTGTCTTTGATTCAAGAGGTTAATTAAGACATGACACACCTACTATGTTCTAGACCATACAGTAGGCACTGAGGGATGCAGAAAGAAAGAAAATTCCTGCCCCTGAGAAGCTCACTGGCTACAGCTGTCAGTAATAACATCTAATATTTATTGAATGCTTACCATGAACTAGACAATGATGTAGAAGCTTTATGGCAACTCAGTTAATACTCCCAACAACCCTTTAACATCGCTGGCAATTCCATATGCTGAATTCACATGGAATTAAATTGAAATCTACAAAGTAGCCAGTCTATGGGGTGCCAGGGGGTTGTTGTTTTTCATTTCTACAATGTTTAAGCCAGATATAACATGTTATGGTATATGTCGGGTTGCAGAATTATAACTCAGGGGAATAGCAACTTATTTCAACGTGACAAATTTATGCATGGTCTGTAAAGAACAATTCATGCTTTGATCTGGCTCTTCAGATCGAACAGTGAGTTTTAAAAAAATTATTAGTATTGCCATACTAAAAAGATCTTTAGATTGCCACTGATCTTATTCTGCATTTTAACTGCCTTAAATTCTATATTCACTTGAAAGCGGGGGGGACCAAAATCAGATTGGCAACAAGTTTTGCAGACAAAAGGAAATCCTGGTTGTAAATCCCATGATATATTGTACCCAATTTTGTATATAATACTGTCTAATGTGCCGCCTTATTAAAGAATTCCATGTCCACTTGGTTTACATTAGAGGGAAACTTAACTACAGTTTAACATATAGTTCATTTTCAACACTGTCATGTTACATTCATAGGGAGCACATTTTCATTTCTTTATCAGTAATCAACTGGAAGTTTCTTTTTGTTAAATTAAAGCAAGAAGGGTTTTTCAATAAAGGGCATGGGGGTAGGACGCCACCTTTTGGTGGTAAAACAAATAGAAGTCCCTTTTTTAAACACATGCTCCTGACATAATTTCATTTTTAATTACACCAAGGCAAAGGTGCTTGTCCCCATTTCGTTATAGTTTAAGTAATAGGAAAAAACTGTAAATTCAAAATTAGCAAACTATAGTTAACTGCGGCTAAAATTGCCCCAAAGGTATCAGAACATTTGAGTGCCCTGTCACATACTATTAATTATATGTAACACCAACTTTGTTCTGCAAATACTGTGTCAGTGAACATATGCACATCTTGGGGGGACAGAAAGTGGAGTGGACATTTGCCACTTAATGAGATACCTGAATCTCTTATAAGTTTAAACAGAAACTTTAAAATCGCTTAATTCAGTATTTCTTTAACTACAGTTACCATCTTCCTAATTTTCACCATATCTACGTAACATAATAGTTCTTGAAAAATTAATATACTGCACTCATTGCAGTAGTTATTATGGTAATTGTACTAAATATTTTCCTGTAAAACACCCACTTTTATTTTTCTGTTACTACATTAAATGGGAAATCATATCACCTTCCATAAATTAAAAACAATCACAGTAAAAACAAAGTTACTGATTTCTCTTTGTTAGAAAGAAAGAGTGGCTGAAAAACTAAAATGAAAAACTTTTTTAAAAAGAGGGGCAAGTCCTGAAAAGTGTTAATGACGTGTATGTCAACAGAAAATTGTTTTCTCTGTGTTGTTTTTGTTGTTGTTGTTTGAACAACCAGAAGGATAGAAAATGATTGCAAAGGGAGTCTAGTTCTCAATATGTCATTCAATGTTATCTAATGCCATCCCAGTGGCAAGACTCCTACACTCTGAGAAACAGGCAAAACCAAGTACGTATATCAAATTACAGATTAGCAAGCTGAGGCCCAGGGATGTTAAATTGTCCTCCAAGGCCAAATAATTAGTTAGTGGCTAGACAAGGATTAGAATTCAGGTGTCCTGACTCAGCACCATTATGTATTTCCGTCTCACACTCTCCACTTCACCAAAGTGATGTGCCACCCCTCCTCAGGAATTATTCGGCCTGCCTAGTTTCTCAGAAACAGCCAACCCACATATCCCCTTATAGACAGGAGAGAAGCTGAGGCCACAGAGGGTAAAGATCAAGGTCCACCCCCTACTCACCCTCTCCTCTCCCCCAGGTGTGGCAGACATCCAGGTGTGGATAAAGACAGTGAAGAAAGGAGGAAAGGGTTAGCAGGAGAGAAGGGGAGGAGAAGAGGAGAGTGGGGGGAAGGGAGAGGTTAGTAAAAGTGGTCAGAATTCTCTAAATGAAAGCTTCTATTCCTAAGTCTCCTTCCTAGAAGAGAAAAATGGCTAATGAAAATCACGTGTTTCACAGTAAGTGGCAAGAGAAGTGTGTCCTCTGTGTTGTGATGTGACGATATGCCCACACCAGAAAACAACAGAGGCTCCCCTGTTGTAAAGTATGGTCAGCGCTCGGTAACCACTGGTTCTGCATCCATGGATTCAACCCACTGTTTAGGCTATTTGGTGGGTTGAATCCGCAGATGCAGAACCAGCAGATACGCGGGATGTACTCTAAGGGACTTGAGCATCCGCAAATTTTGGTATCCGAGGGAGGTCCTGGAACCAATCCCCTCGTATACTGAGGGACAACTGTATACAATAACATCAAGGACTCTGAGACGAACCACATTTGATAACTGAGAGGCTTGAAAAGCTAGTCAGGGAATGGTAAAAGATCCCAGCTCTCAAAGGGTTTTCCCCAACGCCAAAACTTGTTCAGAGGCTCAGCATTAAAACTAGAGACAAGAATGCACTTTCTGAGGTTTTAACCACGGGGGGCGGGGGGGGGCCTTAGTTACAGGGATTGCATGTCCTGTTTTCTTTTTAGGGCACAGCTCTATAAATGTACATAAACATGGCCTGCACATGGTTTTATGTTTTTCTAAATTGGTGCCTGCGAAAGAGGTTGTTGATATGCACAATGCACCATAAAGTA